AGTAATTGTAAAATTAATAATATATATTCACAACAAAATTTAATCCAGTTTAAGCAAAAATGACTTCCATAGCAGCAATAGCACTTAGACTTATATACCACTTCACAGTGTTTTACAGCCCTCTCTAAGCAGTTTACAGAGTCAGCATATTGCTCCCAACAATCTGGGTCCTCCTTTTACCCATCTCAGAAGGATGGAAGAACCTTGAGCCTGGTGAGATTTGAACTGCCAAATTGCAGGCATCCAGCAGTCAGCAGAAATAGCCTGCAGTACTGTACTTACTGCGCCACCATGGCTCATGCCTACTACATGCTTCGTAAAAATAGTTGGAATACATGCCTTGGTCAAGGTAAAGCTGAAGATGTAATTTTCACAGCTTTCTAAAAATCTTTTAATTCAGTAGTACCTGATAAATTGTTCTTGAAACTAAATTCTTATTATTTCTGGTATTTCTGAATTTTTACATAAGTGAATCACTGCTTTTTTTGTCTAGGGAAGCAGTAATTGTGTAAAAATCCAGAAATATCATAAGAATTTAGTTTCAAGAACAGTTTATTGTGTACTACTGAATTAAAAAAGCTTTGAATTAAAGCTTTGAATTAAAAGCTTTTCAGAAATCTATGTAAATTACATCTGCAGCTTTACCTTGATGAAGGCATGTATTCCAACTATTTTTACAAAGCATATAGCAGGTATGGGAGGCTGCAGAAAGTTAAAATAGGCAACATAAAGTCTGATCTGGCATCAGTTAACAGTGCTGTTCCTTAGAGCAGTGTCCAAGGATCAACCCTTTTCCTGATTTACATTAGGGACTTATATAATTAGCCTAAAAGTACCTGCATTTCTTTGCTGTGATGTAAAATTCTTTAAAACTACTGAAAATTCACTTGCTTTGCAAAATGACATGGACCATGTTTTTGAGTGGTCATCCATTTGGCAACTTTACATTTCAGTTAAGAAATGTTCAGTTTTACATATTGGAAAACAAAACCAGAATGTAAACTATAAGTGAGGTGGTATTGATCTGGTAGATGACCCTTATTTTGTTAAGGACCTGGGTGTACTCATCTCTAACGATGTATGTTCTAAAGTTCATTGTAATACCATTGCTAAGAAAAAGCACTAAAAGTTGTGAATTTAATTCTAGGAAGTTTTATTTCTGGAAATACTGTATTGCTCGCTAAAGTTTACAAAACATACATTAGGCCAATCTTAGAATACTGTTCAACTGTTTTGAATCATTACCATATATCAGACATTAATATCTGACTAATATCAAAAGAGTTCAGAAGTGCTTTGCAAGAAGTCTTGCACTCTTCTGAGATTTTGGCACAATTCTGAGATTCAAGTCTTTTATCTTATTGTGAAAGAGAATCATAAACATTCACACACAAATAAAATAATTCTACAATCTTTCTGCAAAGATGGTCAAAATGTTATGCTATTTATAATATATCTGACAAAGAATATTGGAGTATAATGACAAGAAAGTCTGTGATCATTCCCTGGTTTTTTAATCTGGACAAAAATATAACAGAGAAAATTCCCCAAAATGAATATTAGGAATTTGGAAACAATTGTTTCCACTTGTTGCTTTCACAAAATCCATTAAAAATAGTTGGAAAGAGAACAGTGGTTCTCTTTCAAAAAATTTTACTACTGGTTCTGTGGGCATGGCTTGATGGGCATGGCAGGGAAGTCAGAGGTGGCATTTGCCGGTTCTCTGAACTACTTAAAATTTCTACTCCGGTTCTCCAGAACTGGTCAGAACCTGCTGAATATCACCTCTGATTCCTTCTCACTTACAGGAAAGGCTTCCTCCTCTGAGATGGCATCTTTTGAAATTTACCTAGATTAAAACAATATATTTTTAACCAGGTTGCAGTATAGTTGTAGCTGGAATTTCATTCTTTTTTGAAAGTCTCATCTTTTTAGACAATTTGTATATGTAAGCTCCAAAAAAAGGTTATATGGAGTTCCCTGAATAAGTAGATGCAGCTTTTAGATTGTCTTGCCTAAAGATATAATACTGTCAGGCTATAAAAAATATGCTTGACATTTGCAGAAGCTGTATGGATTTTTACCAGGTCTACTGCATAAGAATGTCAAGTTTAAGGGACTGAAGTTTAGATTTTTTACATAGATAAATCATTCAGTCAATTACTGAACTATGAACCTTGCTAAGTTTTAATGAATGGAACATGTTAGATAATTAATTCATCTAATCTAGTACAGGTATTGTCGTCCTTCAGTCTCAAAAGACTATGGTATCGTGCTCTGAAAAGAGGTCTTAAAACAGCATCTAGTGTGGCTAAAAAGGCCAATTCGAGAGTGGCAATCCCTTCCACACTGAGGACAGATACAGTCTGTCCCCTGTCCAGCCCCCAGATTTCCTGGACTGCCTCTTTGCCTCAGCCTGCCGAATGAATGTCTCTTCGAATTGGAGAAGACCACGCTGCGTTTTTAGCCTCTAAACTGAACGATCAGAGGTCAAGGTTTCCCAACTGTTAATGTCCATTCCCAAGGCCTTTATATCCCTCTTGCAGATATCCTTATATTGCAGCTGTGGTCTCCTTCTAGGGCACTTTCCCTGCACTAATTCTCCATACAGGAAGTCTTTCGGAATCTGCCCATCAGCCATCCTCACGACATGCCCAAGCCAGTGTAGACGTCACTGTTTCAATAGTATATACATGCTAGAAATTATATGTGCTGTCTCCAACATATTCTTGGCATCACCAGGCATGACAAAGGTCCAAAGAGCACAGTCTTGGAACATGCTAGAATTTCTAGTACAGGTAGCCTTCAACTTAAAACAATTCATCAATTGGTGACCATTCAAGTTACAATGGCATTGAAAAAAGTAACTTATAACCATTTTGTGCACTTATATCTGTTGCAGTATTCCCATGGTCACATGATCAAAATTCAGATAGTTGACAACTGGCTCATATTAATGACAGTTGCAGTGTCCTGGGGTCATGTGACCACCTTTTGCAACCTTCTGAGAAACTAATTTAATGGGGAAGACAGATTCTCTTAACAATCGTGTTACTCATTTAACAACTACAGTGATTCACTTAACAACTGGTAAGGAAGGTCATAAAATAGAGTGAAATTCTCTTAAACAATTGTTTCACTTTGCAACAAGAATTTTGGTTTCGATTGTGGTAACAAGTCGAGGACTACCTGTACTGTTTGTTGCATATGACAACAGCTTTTCAAGAAGTGGCTAAAGGATACTTAAAATTTGAATGTATCAGAAATGCCAAAAATTATTCAGCTTAATACAATCAGCATGTCTTCCTTGGAGCCCTCCTTTATTTGTACTGAAATAGTGAATGCCAATGATAGAAAATATTTCCATGAACAAAATGTATCTCATCAAAACATTCAATCTTGGTTTGTAAAGTTATTATTTCAGGTTTGAAATTGATATAATAATATAATTCAAAAGATTGGGTAGGAAGTTTGCTGTATATTAGCATCAATATTTTAGTTACACTGAATTTTTCATTGGAACTTATTTTTTCCATGAATAATGAATGTAGCCTCATATTTATACACTGTTTATCGACCATGAGATTGTGGCATTAAGGTTATTTATTATATATAAGTCTGGTGTTCCTGATTTTTTTTCTTTTCATGTTATAAAATATAGTTTTCTAATTACACATGCCATTATTATTTTTTAGTGATTTTCCACTAAATCTTCCTTCTCCCTAATTCCTATATATTCCCAGTGCACTGCAATTTATATAATCCTCTTGTTCATCCTTCCAAGCTATGTTTTTGGGGAAAATTTATAAGTATAATAGTGTTACAATATTGTTTCCAGGAGACAGAATATGAATTATGCAATTTCCAGAGTGTAACAATGGCCAAAAGAGAGTTTCTTTTGTTAGATATTAGCATTCCATGTACTAGTTTCAACTACTTTTTAAATCTGTCACATACAGGAGTGATCCAAACTTGGTGCCCTCTATAATCTTAAGACTTAGTTGTCAGGAATTCAGAGTTTTGTGGTCTCAAAACATCTAGAGGTCATTAGGTTGTGACAAGCTGTGCCAGATAATTGTTTTGCCTTAGTATTTTCAATCTACTTTTAACATGGTGGTCCTTTGGCACCTCATGGTCTCAGCTGCACAATCTGTGATTCTTAAAGTATGGACTCCAGGGGTTGAGTTTGAAATGTACTCCTTTGTAGACCTATAACCCTTCCAAAGCAATAAGTTTAAAATTAGCACACCCAAGAGGATTGCTGGGAGAATCAAATCCAGAGGACTACCGCCTATCAAAGTAAACCTTCCAAAACTTGATGCTGTTCTTATACATTAAGATTGAAATTGTTCATCACTTTTTTGCAAATCCCATGGCACTAGTCTGACATTATCGATTTGTTGAGCTGAATTTAAGTTTAAGATGAACTCCAGTTCTTATGTCATTTAGACTGTCCCTGTTGTTGTTGCTTCCCATGTTTGTATTGTATCAAAAGAGGGATTGTTTTTAATAAAAAGTTGCCAAAAAAGGGATGCCAAATAAATAAAATCTAACATTTTGGAGGACTCCATATTTGAAAATTCTAGGGTGCACAATGCTACAGTAGAAGGATCAATTTTCAACAAGTCAATAACATCAATCAATTTTAATTCACTCAATGATCAGTAAATTACATAAACCATAATTAAAAAAAACATTGTTCAGACTTGCATCAGCTATTGCCTCATTTTCACTGTAACAACACATAATACAGTTACTATAGGGGTGAAATCTGGAGAAGATCATTCACATAGTAACTATTTACGGCTGCATTGATGAACTGTTTCTCTTTCCAGATCCATAGTCAACCAGATTTTAGAATACCTATCTTGCAGAAGAAGGAAGGATATTATTTAGTTTTTTAAAATATTTTTTCAGGATAGATAGATGAGATGAGACAGACAGAAAAATAAAATTTCCAATTTCTGGGAATCTGTTTTAAACATTATTTTCAGAATTACCTTTGGTTGAATCATCTTCAATAGGTTGCTTGAATAAAGTGATATCTTTAAAAGTGCAAAGAAATAACACCACTTTGTCATGCTCATTTCTTATCGGTGCAATTTGCATGTAAAACCAAACAGGTGTTCCTGTAATTGAAAAATAAATAAATAAAGCACACATCACATCAAAAGGAGTATGAAAGCAGGCTCATCATCTTAATAATCACTTATTATGTTTACAATGAGCCGGTATTACAGCGAGAGGCATTTGAGTGCCACTGAATAGAATGGAAGAATTAGTCACTGAAAGAAATAGGACTAAACCATTCTTAACTGAGCAAACTGCTGTGGTAATGTGTTTGATCTAAGAAATTGGCCTTAATTTGGAAATCTGCAAAAAGATGGGCCTGCAAACACAGGCAGTAGCTGCACCCTTTTTCTCTTCCTTTTTTTTTTTTTTTTTTCATTCTTGAAACTTTGCTTCTACGCAGGGGGATCTGGGGGAAGACCGAAAAACTTAAGATGGTGATCACAACCACACCATCCAGCTTTACTCAAAAGGAGTAATGCTTTAATTGCATGTTGACAACGACCATCATGATTTTTTTTGGGAAATCCCCTCCTCTCCTTCACTCCCAGTGGATCTTCCTGCTTCCATATTTTATAATCTGAGCCCCCTTTTATTTAGTGGAAGTTGCTGTGTCTGTTGCCTGGCATACAGATTAGTGTGAGGTTGAAGGTGGGCCTCAAATACAGATTAGTGTGAGGTTGAAGGTGGGCTCCTAATTCTATGAATTTAAATACGTAAAAAGATCACTGTGAAATTAAACTACATAATCTAATCTAACCCAGCATTCTTTTTCTGACAGTCTTCCATGCAGATGCCAGTAGATGCTCAGAAGATGGACTTCATTCCACCACCTGCTATTTAAACTAGACTTCCATTCTGCTTCCCCTATAAAAATGTTGAATTATAACTTTTTAAATCCTCACCCACTATAATGGCATATTCTTATGACTTTTATTAGAAAGCAACAGAGAACCTCAGCAAACCATTCTTTCTGGAACAAATGTACCCATTTCCTAAGCATTTTGAAAATTATGTTCCATTATTTCAAACAAACCATCTTTAGCCAAAGGACAAGAGACCTGAAAATGATATAGGCCAAGCAACCAAAGTCCTGATTAACTATTTCAAAATTTAAACTATGTATAAATATAAGTTTTATGCTTTTATAGACAACCAAAGTCAATAGACACTCTGCTTCCTAGCCATGTTATATCTACTTATCATGTAGCAATTGCACATAGAGAATTTAGTAGAAACATTCATGGTCTGATGACTCAAAGGGAAGAGATGGATCAACATCAACATTACTGCAGCATTGCCCAGTGGGTTTTTCACATTCAGATGCATTAATAGTTTTTAAAATGTTTTTTTCTCTAGCCTTTGTCCTGATCTGAGCCATCATTCTTTCATTTTTCCAGCTTCTACCACTACCATCATTGCCAAATTTGGTTCTGTTGTGTCAGCAAGAGAATAATCCCAATCCAATTTCATATGTTTTCCAATATTGTATTAGACCGGAGAGAACATGGAGAACACATAGTTCTGGACATTGCTGCCAGTTTCTTAATAGCTCTACTTTGGGTGGCATGATTTACAAGGGAAGGGTTTTAAGAATGAAACAATCAATTGCATTCTGAGCTGCTGTTTGACTACCTCTCTTCTTAGGGTGAATGGAGGAGGGGGGTATTCCTGGTTTTTTTCCCTCTAAAAATCTGACTCGTTTTTAGAGTCTTTCTTTTGCCAACTCCCTTCCCAACCAATATAGATTGGTTTCCTCCAGGGGTGGGATATGACAGGGTTAACTACTGGTTCGGGATTTATGAGCTTCCCTGCCTGCTGTGAGCCGCGCGCCTGTTAATCATCATTAGCATGCTGCCGGGCCGAGAAGCAGCCTTTGAAACAGCCCTGTTTTCTTGTTTTTTTAACTGCAGCTGTGCCTCGTTTGGCAGCTGAAGTTGAAAAATCAGGAAATAAAGATCAGGTAAGAGCCCAGGTGGGTGGGTGGGCAAAAACATCAGCAGACATAGAACCGGTTCTATGTCTGCTGCTCTTCAGAGCTACCAGTTCTACAGAGGTGGACAGAACAGGTAGAAACCCACCCCTAGTTTCCTCCCAGCTGGTTCCAGCCAGACACCAAGATTGCTGAATCCTAGGATGAGTTAATGCCTCTGAGTTCTCGAAACATCTATGTGTGCAATTGTATTGGCTACCAGTGGACTGGTGAAGGGCATGGCGTTTGAATGGGGAAGAATAGCTTAACAGTTTATGTGGGAACTTCAGATTCCACCTGACTTCTCTGCAGTCACTTTCTCTCAGTAAAAATTCCTCTTGATAACTAATTGTTTCAGGAGTACTGCTTTCGTGAGGAGATAGCTGAGGCAAGTCCTTACATCCCATTTGATTCTGTTTACAGAACATTATCCGTCTTGTAAGCAAACAGATCAAGTTCCAAGTCTCTTTGCAGAAGTTTCTTTGAACATTCCATTGGATTGGAAGACATAAAAAAGGAGGCAACTGTAATTCAGCATCAAAAACATATTGAGATTCAAGATACAAGTTACATCATACACATTTATGTGTGTGAGAAAGAGCTAGTGCATATGTGACAGGGAGGGAGGGAGGGAGGGAGGAAGGTTGTTTTACCCTTTAATCTCAGCACTGCGGACAAAAGAACCCAATTTGGTGTAGTGGCTAAAGTGCTAGACTAAAAACCGTGAAATTGTAAGTTCTAGTCTTTCTTTATAAAGATAACAGATTTAAATTTCATAAGCAACTTTGACAACCTGCAAAATGCTTTGTTGAACTGCATAGCTGTGTAATTATCTCAAAATTGCAAAACTTTGGGAAGATCAGTTGAGTAATTGCTTTGGAGTTATGATGAAGCACTCCATCAGAGACTCTTGTCAACTAAAAACAACAGCACTAGCCAATGAAATTGCATCACTATAAATCACATTAATCAAGAAGACAGCAACTAGCATAATGCTATCCGCTTCAAGCAGAGTAAAAATTCTGGGTAGTGCTTTATCAAAATACAGGAAATATGACCTCTACAATTTCTGTAGATAGGACCTGATATGCCAATTCTTGCTTAGGTTATGGAAGGTTAACAGCCATACTTTGTAAGTAGGTTCAAAAATCTGGAAGGCACCCTGAGCAAAAGAATGTTACTCAAGAGCTAAGTTATTGTACCAAGCAGTCACATCACTTAATTTCACATGAATGTTATTGTTCACAAGATAATGAAAAACAGTAACTGTGTCATGTTCAAAATTTTTGTATCAAGGATTCTCAGGATGATGCAGTGTCTGTAGCAGAATTAATTAAAGAGTAGGAATGTGAGATGAAACCTAATTTTAGGACTATCCATAATGTTCCAGCATAACTCTGGAACGCCTCAAGCAATTTCAATCAAACATGATAGACAGATGATTTACCCTCTGGAAAAAAAATACTATGAGGGTAAGATACCCCTAACACCCCTCGGGGGGTGCCTTAAAATGTCTTCTACTGTACAGCACAGTGGAGTTGCCATGGTAACAGTTTCACAATACTCCACAAGGAGGCTCCCTCTGACTTGCAACACTGCGCAAGAGAGCTACTACATCTAGAATTTCAGAGACAGTACAACAGCATGAGTCCCGACTTTTCCTGTCTAATACAGGATTAGGATAAATAAATACCCGGACAAGGCTGGGTTATCAGCCAATATCAACAGTTTTATTTGGGTAGCTGGCTGGGGTGTGTTTGGACTGGAGGTATTGGTGGGGGTCTGTTTGTGTCCTGGTGCTTGCTGGATTGTAGTATAGAGATTTTTTTGTTTGTGAGTGCAGGCTTCCAGATGATTGATAGTCTGGTGGAGTCATCTCTTCTATTCATACTAAAACCTAGCTTCCTACTAAATAATTATCAGTCATTCACAAGAAACCAAGCTGCACTAAGAAACCTCAATGCACAAAACACAATGTTGCCAACCAATCAAGAACACAGCAACTCCAAGACCAATAAAAACAGACCTAGACTCCCAGCTAATCAGCATGAAGAAAAAAACCATTCAAATAAACCAGAAAGCCAGCATCAAATTCAAACAGAAGTGTTCATCTGTGAGTGGACTGTGAGTCCACAGACGAACATAATACAGAAGCCTGATGATGGCAGATGAGATTCGGCTGAAATGTTGCTACAACTTTAAAAGCACAACTATAATGACATGGGAAAACACCCGAACAAAGCTGAATAACATACATGTAAGTACCCGCGAAAACTTAAGAAAACATATCTATCTATCTATCATCTCGGACTCCGAGAAGCACAAAGCCGAAGACACAAGCCTGAAGATAACGAATGAGATTTCATCGAAACGTCACCAGGATACTTCCAATTTACGCAGGAGAAAACCCGAATAATCAAAGATCCACATACAAATACCCACGAAAACCTCAGAAAACAAACATATATATAAACTCATATATATATGAATATATATATATTCATAGGCACTTTCTTCCAAGTTGTTGAATTTATGATAATAAATTCCTCCTTTTTCAGCTGAAGTGTAGTTTTTCAGTATAATTCTTTCCAAAGAATACTTCTAATTATTGCTATAGAAAAAGAACTGGAAGTATTTTATTAACTGATTCTTACCATTAGAAATCAGTGTCTGAAGGAGACATACCATTTCCACTAGTCTGGTAACAGAAGTAGATTTTCCAAAGTATTCTCTGGAGAACTGGGAATGTTTACAAGGAAGCCATTGTCATTTCATTTGGAAATTCCTTATTGATTTTGTAGGACTATTTCGGAGAAAGAATTCTCTGAATGTTGCAGGCTCTGATTCAAAAAAGCTGGATGTATTTTTAGCGGCCCCACAAACAGTGATTCTCCCTCCCACCCACCCCGCCAAAAACAGGAGTCAGTTCTGGTGAGAGATGCTGGTGGGGTAGTAGCTAAAAAATCTCTATTTACAACTGAAGATTTTCAAAACGTAAAAGAACAAGTTGCTAGCTCTGTTCATTTATTTTAAATGACCGATTTTTATTTCTGGGGAACTAGTCATAGATTCCTTTCCTTTTACTCTCACTGAAGTTTGAGGACTAGTGTCATACAAAATTCAGTATGTTGGCAGGCCAGTAAAGCACTGTCCTCTTGCTCAACTGAGGTTTCTTCTTCCCTTTGTAAATTAGCCATAACACGCTCCCCAAAATTATCATTTACAACACACCTGGGGTTGATGTAGCAACTACACTTCTCTGAATGTCCAGTTCTTAACAAATCCAATCACTGTTTTTCCTTTCAGCAGTTACCAGAGAAAATTGCATTTCTACAGATTTCTACATCTTGTACAAATTTCTACATCTGCCGGAGTTTATAAATTCAGAGATTATATGTATTTAAAATTATTTATAGTAATTTTAATTCACATATTTACTTCATCTTATTTTCTGTCATTTAATGAAGAATATATATTATATTCTTATAATATTATATCTGAATAAGTCTGAAAATCCGAATTTTTACAGCAATGAAGGCTTACAAAGATAAAATACCTCAATGTGACCCTGGGTTTTTCAAGGATTTCTACAGATGTTTGAAACTACATTTAACCAGAATAAACACAGAGGACAGAAGAATAGCAAAGGTCAATGATAATGGACCTCTTTGCATGCACAAGAACCAAGTTGATGTTTCCCATTGCCTTTTTCCAGAATGTTTCATTTTAAGTAGCCTGAGACCATGCCCTGTTTCTTTTACCATGATTTATGGTTAGAATGTTCTTCCTTAGATTTATTACTATAGTATCCATTAGTAGCAAAAATATAGGGTCTGGATAGAAATATAAGCAGGAAAAACTTTTGATCAGGGCATGCCATACTAATATCCCCCAGTCCAATTTTCCTTCCAAAATCAGTCAGCATTCAATGATCATTAATCAATCTTTACAGTGGTTTTTGCCTTCCTTCCTTCCTTCCTTCCTTCCTTCCTTCCTTCCTTTCTTTCTTTCTCCCAAATACTTTTTTAAACATTTCTGTAAACTTTTGTTTATCACAATGGTACCTCCCTCTTGTGTGCATTCTCTATTAAGATCAACAATAAGTATGTTACCAGCATATATGACCATTTCAAAGGCAACCAAAGTTCCCACGGTTTCATATACGTACTGTTCTTCTTATACAAAAGGACTTCAAAGCAATTTGATTCGTAGTTGTCAAATGTCTGTCTGACTTTTTCAATCGTTTTCTTATCTGTGAGTTCCCCATACATAAAACTGGAGAAATAAAAGAGAGAAGAAAAATAATTTGCTTCATGGTCAAAAAAAGGCAATCTGACATCCTGACAGACATATTTATGTTTTTACATTGCAACATAATTGCAGCCAGGTATCCTTAACTGTGAATTATACTTTTGTGTGATTCATCTTTTATAGTGGCAAAATTGTTATGAAAGCCCCTAAAAGCAAATGTAGGTAGCAGAATTCTTTGATGCAGGAAAGATTTATATCACTTAATGGGCCAGATGTTCTGGGCATAGGAAGAAAGGGAGAAAGGGAGGAGGGAAGGGAGGCAGGCAGGAAGGGAGGGAGGGAGGGAGGGAGGAAGGAAGGAAGGAAGGAAGGAAGGAAGGAAGGAAGGAAGGAAGGAAGGAAGAAAGAAAGAAAGAAAGAAAGAAAGAAAGAAAGAAAGAAAGAAAG